GGATACCAGGCCCAAACACAGTGGGTCTGTGCTTGCACACCCCTTGTGACGGGCAGCTCACCACTCAGTAAGGTCACATCACCTCTCTCCTGGGCTCCTGCCTGTGGGACGGTCTTCCCGCACTGATGAGAGCCTGCCTTTTGTCACTGTCTTCTGTGCCCCTGCTCTGCCGGCTAGGGTCACACTGAACAGGTCTCCCCCTCAACCTGGGTCAGCCTTGCCCACATGCTCCAGACACCATTGCTATTCACACACTCATGGCTAGAGCTTTATTCAATCCCCGATCCCCCCACTGGTATAATTACGCTTCTAAAGCTGGAGAGAACATCTCCTGTATTCTCCGTGTTAGTCAATGTGTTGGAGAGCAGGGAAAAGAAAGGGAAACCCAAACATCTGAACTTAGTAATCATCACCACCATCTTGGCCAGGCTACCCTCCTAATGAGCCACCATATGTCCAGGCGGTCGGTGCCAAGGGGCTGAGTCTCGGCAGACAGTTGGGGGGTGCACAACCCCTCCACCAGGCAGAATCAGCAGCAGGACCAGGAGGCGCTGCAGCCGTGAACACCTTCCCAGGGGCCGCGTCACCTGGGAACAGCACAGAGGAGCCTGGCGGGGCAGTGTGCCCTTGTGCATTTGGGACACTGAGGCTTGGAGACGCATGACTCAGCAGGTCAGACATGGAGTGAGAGTCAGAGCCTGGGAGCACCCCTGGTGTGTCTGGGTCCAGCGAGCACTAGACTGACAGCCTGCACATATGCGTGCTGTGTCCCTTTTGGACCTCAGCTGTGCTGTGTGGGTTCCCAACAGGTTGATGACACAGGGTGACAGGCAGAGGGACCTGTGACTGAGAGCTGAGCATCGGCCTCCAGAATGCCCACAGCCCTGCCAGCCTCCTGGCCCTTGCCTGAGCTGTTCCCTCTGCCTGTCACACCCTTCCCCAGCCCCCCACCCTGCATAGTGCTTGTGTCCCCTCAGCCCCAGCCCCTCTCCCAGGAGAAGCCTTCCCTGACCCCAGCTCCCAGTCCCTCTCCCAGGGGAAGCCTTCCCTGACCCCAGCTCCCAGCCCCTCTCCCAGGGGAAGCCTTCCCTGACCCCAGCTCCCAGCCCCTCTCCCAGGG